AATTTGATGCTGAAGGTCTTTCATTCCCGAGATTACCGATGCATTTGTTTTTATATCAGAACTATGTTGTAAATAATTGAACATATTTTGAATGCTATTCAAAACATCCATATTTGATATTAAATTGCTTATGATTTCTTTTTCTTCTTCTTCTCTTTCTCTTCTTCTTCTAATGCTTCTGCGATTATTTCCTCTTTCATCAATCACTTCGGTGCCTTCTATTCTGGCATCAATATTAATATAATCGCTTGCTACGATATTGTCAACATTTATTTGGTTGATAAGTAATGGAACTGCATTTTCTTTATCCTCCAATTCATTTTCTAATTTGTACATCTCTTCATCGGGCAGAATACCTGTTCTTATATTGTTTATTTTGTTATGTTACTAAAATAGTAAAGATAATTACGTGGTCCGACTTATCGAGAGTCATTTGTTATAATCTGATCGACAGGATTGTCCGAGTTAAGCCAAATCCAACTTATCGAGTTTGCCTATGTATTAGGCTTTACTCTAATTAATTTTGCTTATTAATTTTTGAGTGTAATACAAGTAGTAATATATACTGAATAACATTTTTATTGACCAGGCAACATTGATATTTTTATGGCTTTTCAAATCTCACATACAAAGACTTTGAAAATAAATGAAAAATACGTCAATTATCAGCTGCGTATTTGTTGAAAAATACAGTATAATACATAGTCACTATACTTTACAATTACATGTTAATGCCAACCGTTTTTCACACGCAAATTACAAACATGGATTAACTTTCAAGACTTGACCCGCCAATAGCAAAAAAGTTACAAATGACGTTGAATTAATTGTTTTTTACATTACCTCAATTTAACTTGTTGTTATCAATTATTATTATTGGTTGTTGTAGACTTAAGTATTAATTTTTTTTTGTTTTAATTACCGTATGTCAGCTACAATTATAATTTATAAAAATGCTGAATAGCCTTTCTTATTTCTGTGATAAAACTAATGCACGTTTATCGACGTATAAAACTACTACTTTCCGTAAATGGAAGACAATTTGTTAGAGCAACCCTCATTTAATCTTATACAGATACCAAGTTCAACAACGTACATGCTATTTTATTCGGACAAATAAAGTTTGATTTAGCTTACTACGCGTCTTTTCGTAAATACCGATGAGAATTGGTATCGTAATAAATGTGTCTTCTAGTAATTGTTTACTTGTCGCGTGTCTTTAAATGGTTGATAACAAACATGCTTATCCACTCTTATTCTGAGTTTATTACAAATTTTAACACCACAAATTAATCGAGTTGCATTCCAACCTCCTTGCAGTGGGAATAACATAATTATGTTATTCCCACTTAGTTTAGGTTATGACCGCTCCAAAATGACGTGCGTTTTGCTTTTTTCGACACACTCGAGTGACGTGCGTTTTTGCTTTTTT